AAGAGGAAGAAGAAGAAGAAGAAGAGGAGGAGAAGACTCACTCAGACCTCACCAGCCCTGCCTGTTACCTGTACGTCGCGTGTTTGCCTACCCGCGTCACGATCAGGATCCTATTTGCATAGCGCCGATGAAGCTGCTACCGTTGCGCTCGTTTTCCTGCCACCGCTGTACCTTCGACTTCTTCTTCCTTAGGGCATACGCGTCCAGCTTGCACAGAGATGACGGAGGAGAACGATGAACGGAAGTGGAGAACGCGGTTGCTGATCATTCTTTGTGGTGTTCTTGGATTGGGAAGCGATTTAAGGTGCTGGAAGGAACGAACTGAGAAAGGAACTGATGAAACGCACTATGTCGATATGTGTGGTTTCTCTTACAGATGAAATCAGTTGTGTCTCTTTTAAGGGTCTCGTACGTGACAAAAGTCTAGAATGAATGGGTATATTTAGTTGTTTCGTGTGTGGTATCGGTATGTAAAAGGGTAATTTTTATGTTTTTCCACTGTAAAGTAAGAATGGACTTTTGACTTAGTGTGCTCTGTCAGTATACCCATGGTACAGTGTTTGAAAAGAAAATGTGGAATGTTAGTTAGCAAGGTAATTTAGCTCCTTCGAAAATTGACTATTTAATAACCAGCTCATGCATAATACAGTTAAGAACATAGAACAAATTGTCTATACACCCACATTGCTACGAACATTTCACACGCGTTACGCGCCATGTACAAAACGAACAACTATACCAACCATTCATTCTCTTATTACTACTACTTAATCAAAATCCCAGAATTAACTGAAATTTGTATTAAAACCCTAAAATTTCGATTTCTTCCAAAAGAAGAAAAAGAAGAAGTAACTTCTTCAGCCCTCTTTTCAAGCATGAGTCGAAGGAACGAAAGAATATCAAGAATGATCGTGGAACAGTAACGGATAACCGAGCAGTTAGTTGTTCCTAAATTCAATTAAAACCAGCTCGACAAAGGGAACAATGGCGGCAAAGAGCAAGGAGAGCTTCCGAACTTCGTTTCTCACGCGGCTGTTCGTTTCTCGCATAAAGCGGGGCCGAAGGTGTACACGGGCGCGGTATCGGTTCTGAGAATGGCTTATCAGCCCGCGGATATGTTAATGGCGGCCGTGTTTGCCTCCTTCCCCAACCCACCATCACTAACACCACCATCGCCGTCTTCTTTTCTGAGATATATTACACCCTCGGTAAACCCGGAGGTGGTTGGTGGCGGTTGTAGTAGGTGGTTGTAGGCGAGCAAGGTGCACACCGCCCCTCTCGATCGGCCTCTCGAACAGTTTGCATGCACGTGCAATTAAGAATGGTCGAAGGCCCGGTAACGAGAATGAAAGGTAGATAGTAGGCGGCTTGGACGAGTCCACACGCCGCGTTTAATAGTTCACTTCGTGGGACACCGTACTCGTGCCTTGATAGAGCCGTTTCAACCGGGGCGAAATGCCTTCGTGGAAGATACGATATGTATGCGGTTCGAGCGAATTGTAAGAGACGACAGTGATTGGAGAAATTGAATTAAAAGGGAGCGTTGAATTTGTTGGGGGAAAGAATCGATTCTGAGGTTCGAAGATCGAGGATAAGGATTGATCGAGGAAATTTCGGATTCTTAGGTAGATTAGTGTATACAGGGTGTCCTAAACGTTTCCGGACACACTTGGCCAGTGCGTTCTTTGGGTAAAAATAAGAGTAAAATGTGACGTGAGAAAAAGTCTGTAAGTGTTTCGTTACGAGGTAATTCGATAATACTGTTTCTCTTAGTTCGGTACAGGATTTTCTCGAAAACTAAGCCTCGGAGGGAAAAATTACACCTACTGCTCGTTTGGATAACAGCGATCTATCGTATGAATTGGCGCATCACACTTGAGCTCTGTCTAATTAGTTTTGTGTTGCAATGCTTCGAGCGAAACACCGATAGTACGAGTTATTCAAAAATTCTATTATCCTTTGTCACACACTGTGCACGAATCCACTTCTTATCTCCTATTAAACGAACGGGTTCATCGTCCTCACAGGGTTGACTCACGAAAAACCAATTTATTCACGACGAATCGTTAACAATTCGCGAAACATCCTGTTGCCAGGCCAGCCAACAGGCTCCGAACACACCATCGACACCTCGAATCTCCTCGTATCGAGTCTTACTTCTCCCTTCGATGATCCTCGCGCGGATATCCACCGCGGTAGGACAAAACGTAGCGCGGCTCACCAGGTGGGTTGTCCTCGAAATCGAGACGACACGCGTATCGTCCGTCGAATTACCCGGATGCTTTAATTGCCTGCCTGGGTGAGGCTCTCCTCTCTCTCTCTCTCTCCCCTTTCTCTCTTTTTTCTTCTCTCTCTTCTCTTCTCTTTTCTCTCTCTCCTCTTCCTCCCCTTCTGTTCTCCTCTCTTTCTTCTCTCTCTCTTCTCTTATCTTCTCTCTCTCAGTGAGAAAGGTGAAAGAAGATGGCGGAAGGGAGTGGAGAAGAGAGGAGGAGGAGGTGAGATGCCGAGGGAGATTAGGCAAAGGGTTGCAGCGCACTTCTAGCCTATCCTGAGCTCGCATCTACAGCTTGGTCGTGTTCCTTCTGCCTCTCTGTAAATAAGCGGTCATCGATGGATCGGACCAACTCGCCAGCACCACCGCATTCCCTCTTCTTTTCTTTCTTGTTCCTCTTCTTCCTCTCGCTCCTTTTCCTAATGCTATCTCCCTTCGAGTCTCTATTTCTTCCAGTCCTCCGGCTTGTCGTCGTTGTGCTTCGACGGGGAACGAGAGAGAGAGAGAGGGAGAATTCTTAATTGCACGCGCGTACAAGCTACCTGGACCGCGAGACACGCTCGTTTCGCGTTCACGCGCGAGCATCGTTGCGGTGAAATTGATCAAAATTCTATGGATACTTGTACGCGTTGGCTTGACAAACACATTTTTAATACACCGTTGAAGGATTAACAGGTCATCGTGAGGTGACACGTAACTACGATTATGCAATACAAGTTACGTGTATATACAAACGATACAATTCGTCGGGTGTAATTAAACTTAAAGAAACGAAACGGATTTGCAAACAATTCCTAGCTATTTTGACTTCCTTCTTTATTATGATAAGGGGTTAACGATATGGCTTCGTTGATAGTGTTAATATCGTGCAGGCTGGGACTGTTTACGCCTACAGGTCTCTGCGTTTAAAATAAACTGGGTTTGAAAGAAATAAAGCGAGGCAAAGATCGAGCGCGAGATAAGGGGTAGGGTGACAGAGCAGTTAAACATAGCGGCAGGGGTTGCTCCTTAATGGTCTTGCGCACAGCCAATTGATTTCGAACGCACTTTACTTCATCATTGAGGTGCTGAGAATTTCATTCATGCTTCTCAATTTTCAAAGAACCTTTAGAACTTAAACTTCGTTAAAGACTCGAGATTCAAATTTGCCAGGACTTTCAAGAGTTTTAAGTATTGAATTAGATTCGAGTTTTCGCAGTATTGAAAAACTTCGAATCCTTTCGAAATTGATATTCAAACTAGGGCTGTGAAACTTCGAACAGTCGAACTATTTGAATAATTCCAATATAAATTCTTTATTCGGGTAATTGGAATAATTCGGATAAATCAAATACGAATTCTTTATTCGGGCAATTCAAATAATTCGGGTAATTCAAACACCAATTTTTTATTCGAGTATTTCGAATAATTCAGAAAATTTAAGTGCGAATTCTTTATTCGGGTAATTCAAATAGTTCGGATAATTCAGGTACCAATTTTTTATTCAACTAACTCCAATAATTCGGATAATTCGAATACCAGTTTTTTATTCAGGTAATTCGAATATTTGACTTTCGAGTTGTGCCGAATATTTCGCGCGTTTCGAATACATCGTTTCCCCTGAATCGCAGAAATCTCTAAACGAATATTTGTACTTCCGCAACGGTCCTAATTCAAACTCCCATCGCTACTTGTGAGGTACTCGATCCCATCGCTAATAGAGCGAACTTTAGTAACGATAGGGTTAAACAGAAATGCCCGAACGAATTCGTCGAAAAACAGGTCCGTTTCACGGTAGAATGTCACCAAACGTGGACAAACCCTATGGCGTCGAGCTTATCCGAGATTTCGACGCGAGAACGAGAATAGCAGCAGCCCCTTTCCGGCGTCGAAGCGGCACGCCGCGACGCACCACGCCGAATGGTGGGGATGAGTAGAGGCGTGCGAAGGGTGCAGCCGAGGGGTGGGGTGTCCCTGGTAGAGAGATAGATAGATGAATAGAGAGAGATAGTAAGAACAGGGAGAAGGGAACAGAGGGTACGCAAAGGCTGGCGTGGCGAGCGACCATTAGGGAGCCGAACGGCCATAGAGACGCATCGTTTAGGCGTGCGTGCCGCCGCCTTTTTTTTTTCTCTCACTTTCTACCGTTGCCCTCCACTTCCGGTTGGGCTCCTCCACGTGGATCCGCTTCGTCGACTGTATTATGGTCGTTTCTCGTGAATCGGTGGATCGTCGTTGGGATTGCTTGAAGAAATGTAGGAATACGATTAATATTATTCGATATAATCATTTCATTCCAGGAATTAGCCCTTTCACTGCGACAGATTGTTTTTTTTTTTTTTTTTTTTAGTACGTAACTTGTGTGGCGGACGGTAAATGTCTGTCATTTCGGCTGTATCGTGAGATTTTCGTTTATTCAATTAAGGTGGAAGTGCGCGCAAGGTAACAGTTGAGGATTAAATTAAGGTAGAAGTATAGTGCAAAGTTTTTCTATAGGTACCAACAGCAATGAAAGGGTTAATTACGTAATTGATATAACTTTTTACAATAGTTCTACAATATTAATTTTGTTTCTTTTATTTTAAATTCGTTTTCAGTAAAATGGCGGGAAATAATTTTTTAAATATTGTGATTTTAGTTACTCTTTTTATTGGCGTTAAATTCGATTCCGATAGAAATTGTGAAAATTGTGAATCTAAATAATTGATAGAAGGAGAGGGTAAAGATGATTTGTTTGACGATGTTTCAGGGGAGGATGAGGAATGGAGCGACTCGGAGAAGACACCGTCGGTGAGCAGTGGAGTGGAGGGCGGTGGATCGGCGGTCTCCAGCCCGATCGCGCCGATCGTCGAGGAGGAATCGAGCCTTCCACCACCGCCGAGACTGAATCCCCCGTCCTCGGTCGCGATCGCGAATTCGGCGGCTGAGGATATCAGATTGAGGCTCAGCGTGCTCTCTGAGGACGCACGGAAACGGCTGGCTAGTCTTACCGAAGATATCGAGGTAAAATTTCACCACGTAAATTATAAATCAATCTAATATAGTGTGTGACAAAACTTTCCGAACTCGATGATATTTTTCTTTTTTTTCTTTTAAACATTTTCGGTAATTGACTTGTGGCATGTTGTGAAGATATATTTTCATTTTTACCGTCTTTCGTTTCATGTGACTTGGAAGTTACGTATCCATTTATTTAGCGGGTGTACAAATTAATTCGGTAACTTTTCTTACAAACTTCAATGTTTCTTTACGAAAAAATCAAACACAGTTTTAATGTTTGAATTATCGGGTAACTGACGAATACCCCGTCTGAGAAAATATGGCGGTTCTGAATGGATAAAGTCGTCAAGACTTTGTGACAAAAGGCACCGAGTTCATTTCTGCACCTGATCCATTTTATTTACCTAACCAACCAATTGCTTTATAATAATTATTCATTCTTCCTTCGCCAAACAAAATGTAAAATTATAATTAACCATAATTTTTCTGCTCGTGAACGAAGAAAGTCAGGTTACAGAGGATTAACCCTTTACCTTACGATACTTTAATGGCTACAAATATGGCTATTTACAGTTCTCATTCTTTACAGTGTTAACTAAAAAGAAGACTTAATTACTGTACATAATTTCTGTTTTATAAGCTTCAAGTATAAATTGAAGTTGAAGTTAGAATTAAAATTCGAGTGCATTACAAATGCAATTGTTATACCTTCATCATGATACGCACCACGAGTGTGTTTCAAAGCAATGATGCTTCTCGAATCACTCCAGAAATATGACAATATTTCTTAATTAATAATTACTTCATTATAAACCTATAAGTTTGTGCTGAAAGCGACAAATATTTTAATGAAAATCCGAGGATATTCTATAGCGACGACATAACGATCTTATCAAAAAAAAAAATAGGAAAAATTCTTCTATCAAATTTAAACGTTTGTTGGAAATATTAATCTAAATTATAAAATTCGACCGAACTTACGGGATGACCTAATTCTTTAAGATATGAAAGAAATTTTTCAAAAATATGAAAGGAAGACAAATTATGAACTACTTTAAAATGCTCTTCGTTCTCTTTTTCGAAGAACCACCGATAAATGTCTACAATTCCAAAAAACCTGAAAGAGAAACCTTAGAATATTCATAAAAATTCGTGGAAATTCAGGTTGCAAGAAGCTTGAGAGACCGACATGCCACATCGAGGCCGAATCAGACGCGAGAATCGAGTCCAAAAGACACGGACGAGGATTCCAGCATGGTCGTGGTCAAGGAGGAGGATTGTCAGCCTAGATCATCCTCCTCCTCGACGTCATCGACTAGAAGAAGAGAATCTGTGTGCAGAAGGGACTCCGAGGATTCCTCGAGGCGATCGAACACAGACGATCCACCGTCTGAAAAGAAACTGAAGCTCGACGACGAAGCAGCACCAAGACTGAGACTCAATGCTAGTCTGGCGACGGATCCTGCACTTCGATCCGCCGCTGTAGCCACGCTCACCGTCAAACCGGAGAATACCTCGCCGCCGAATCCTGTCCCGCCACTTCCGGCCGGTCTTCAAAATGGTACGTTTAATCGGATGAATTTTTCTTTAGAATTTTTATTCAATGAAGAGTGTCATTTTTGTCTGCTATATGAGCCACTCGAAAGCCAAACTTGATTAACTTCACTTTTTGATATTCTTCCAATTTTTCTTTTTCAATTCTTCCAGTTAACGTGTCAATGAACACGACCTTTTCAGGCGTTTTCGAAAACCGCATTGTAAAATTTCTTCACTCACTTAGTTTTACTTATTTAATTCCGACACTTTCGGGAATCCCGACACTTCCGAGCATTCCTACACTTTCGAGAATCCCGTCTCTCCCAGGAATCCCGGATATTCTCGGGACAGTATCGGGAATCTGGAAATTTTCGGGAAATCGTCCCGATCTAGAAAAAAAATCCCGAAATTCTCGCACACCTTTAGAAAGCACTACTGTAGTATCTAGAAGGTTAACCGAATGTTCGTAATAAAAATTTCAGCGATCGCGTCAGGCCGTCTGTTCGTGCTACCAACCGACGGCAAGGAGACGATCACTGTTGAACCAGCGAGACCTGCGCCGCTGATTTGCCCGCCGTGCGGGATCCGCTTCAGCTCGGCGAGCACGCTCGAAGCGCATCGAACCTTCTACTGTGCCCATCGGCCCCGACTCGAAGAAGACGCTACCAACGAGGAAGACGAGGAGAAATCGAATAAATTCGAAGTGAGGAAAGCGTATGCTTGTCCACATTGTTCGTACAGCGCAGACAAGAAGGTCTCGTTGAACAGACATATGAGGATGCACGCTGCTTCACCTGCACCACCAACGATACCAACAGCACCCACCACTGCTACCACACCTGGAACTGGTGCGGCAACAGCCGCGAATGGATCTTTAAACGAGGAGGCAGAGAGATACTGCAGAAATTGCGACATTAGATTCAGTTCCCTGAAAACATACAGAGCGCATAAGACGCATTATTGTAGCACCAGGCATGTGGTTAAGGATACTCCACCAGCGGCCACAGTGGCATCTTCGTCGGTGAAAGCTTCACCACCGACCAGCGCTAGTCCCGGGGAATCACCACCGCCACAACCTTGCCTGGCACTGCCCACGAATCCTATTCTGATCGTGCCGTACTCGTTGTTCCGTGGAGCAAGTGTTTTGGCTGCGCCTACTCTGCCTGCGCCTGATACTGCGTGCTTCCTTCTTCCGAATGGTTTGTATTTGGATAAGATGGTTTATGTAGGTTTTACAGAGTTGTTTGTGAGATATCAAAGAGTGGAGAGTTTGTGAAGTTTAATTGTAGAAGTAAAAATCATTAGTGTCCATGGATTGCAAAGCTTGAGATCTCAAGTTTTAGTAGTATTAGAAGTTTCACTTTGAATGAGATGGTTTGTGCAGGTTTTAAAGAGTTGTTTGTGAGATATCAAAGAGTGGAGAGTTTGTGAAGTTTAATTGTAGAGGTGGAGATCTTTGGTGTATCTATGAATAGCAAAAATTGAAATCTCAGAAGTTTCAGTGATGTTAGAAGTTTGTCTTTAAATAAAATGATTTATGTATATTTTACAGAGTTGTTAGTAGGATATTGAAGAGTAGAGAATTTGTATAGTTTAATTATAGAGGTATGTGTGTGTGTGTGTGTGTGAATGAGAGCTTGCAACAATGAATCTAAATTACACAAATTGTGATGTTGAAAATCCTGAAAATTGTAAAGCTTCACATCCTTCAAACTCCCAATATTTTACTGATTATCCAACTATCAAAAATACTTCTCACAAGTTCTCTCTTCCTCGTAGGTCATCTTCAGCCAATGACGAGAGGTCTCGCGACCACAGCACAGAATGCTGTAGTAGAACCACCTCCGGTTCTTCGAGCAGCGAACAAACCAACGACGCCAGCGTCTGTCGTTGCGTCGTCCACGTCGCCATCAGGCTCGGCGCCACTCGATCTGAGCGTGAGGAAATCACCTGCTCACCAGGATGAGAAAGAGAACAGGGTGTCGCCAGCACCCTCTTCTCTGCCTCCTCCTCCGGGTAGTCCTCGATCCAGAGGAAGCGGAAGCCCTAGAACGAGGTCAATTGGCTCTGCTCCAACAGCAGCTGGTACAGTTGCACCTCCTCCACCAACGGAACTAGCTTTGAGACTGGCTGAACTTCCACCTCCACCTGTTCCTGGAGTGCTTGTAAAGCAGGGTGTGTCGAGGTAAGGTACTCTACCATTTTTCTGATGCTTTAGCGTGAAGTTTTTTGTTAAATAACGAATAATAATGTGGAAAAGATGAAAATAGCTATGAAGAATTTTTTGGAGAATTTTTCATTGAGCATTGTATGGATTGTGTTTAGATGCAAAGAGTGCAACATCGTGTTCTGTCGACACGAGAACTTCGTTGCACACAAGAAGCACTATTGTCAGGCAAGAGAAACAACGGTGGCCAACAGTCCTCCACCACCTGGTACTCCTTCACCTCCTCTGGTTCAGCTAATTTGTGCAGCATGCGGAATTAAGTTTGCCTCTATGGATAATCTGGTAGCTCATCAAGCGTTCTACTGTCCCAAGAGGCCAGAACCTCAGGAACATCACTCCAGGTGTTCTAAGTGCAAGGTTAGCAACCGCTTACACGATTTATTATTAATCAAACTCTCCTGTTTTTACTCTTGATTCCTTTATCTGTATTATTTCTTTCTTCTTCTTTTACAGGCTATAATCGAAGCTGGTAGCACCCACACGTGTAGCAGTGGACCCACAGGCGGCTGGAGATGTCCCGTTTGTGGTGCAGTTAGTCCAACAGCCGGAGCAGCTCAGCGTCACATGGACGCGCACCAAGGTGTGAAAGCCTTCAGGTGCACAATTTGTCGCTACAAAGGAAACACGTTACGTGGCATGAGAACACACATCAAGATGCACTTTGAGAAACGCGGAACCGATTTGCAGGTACATAAAGTTTTATTACACTATTATTATATCTTCATCTATATAGTAAGTTCCTCAATAAAAGCCACGTTACTCGATTATTTTACAGGAAGAAAATTATATAACGTGCGTGCTTGATGACGAAACGGTTCTGCCTACTCCAGAGCCTGCTCCGGCCACCACACCTGAGGAAATCCCAGCAGAGGTGCAAGTAAATGGTAAAACAGAGGTACGAAAGAGCCCTCAGCCACCTCCACCTCCTCCACCTCCAACGGTGACCAACAAGGTGAAGCAAGAACGTGAGGACACGCCACCTCCTGAAGAAAGTCTGGATCCAAGCAGGAGTGGTCCCCGATACTGCAGGTCTTGTGACATCAGCTTCAATTATCTGAGCACGTTCATTGCTCATAAGAAGTTCTACTGCTCGAGCCACGCCGGAGAAGCGAGTAATAATAACAACAATAATAATAACAATAATTCGAGCAGTCACGCGACGACGCCACCAAGGGGCAAGACCGAGGCGTCCGTGCTTTAAGAGACTTCTCTCAGGATGGGACTGTTAATTGTTGCCAGTTTATATATAATATAATTGCCGACTATCCGATTTAGTTGACTACCGTTGTGTGATTTCTGTTGATCCAGGGAATTGTTTGTACTTATGTAAGTTGAGTTGTCCGACGTGGTGTTGTACATACGCGGTGCGTGAACGGACGTAAGGAGGAGAGCTGCGTAAAGGAGTAAAAAAATGTTTAAAGAGCAGGTTAGACGATTGTGGCGACGTTTGATAGTTCGCTTTGGATCAAATGTTGGAGGAGATGAAAAGATTCGAGATGATGTACCAAAGTGAATTGTCGAATGGAAACATGTCTAGGTTATGAAAGAGATCCTTGTTGCGGTTAGATTATTAACTGTCAAGCCGGTCTCGAACGCCATGATCGATACAAAAGGTGTGCAATCTCATGACTCTTCAATAATCTCGTAGTTGTAACTGATAATCGACACATACCTAAGGAATTACGGAAAAAAAGTAACGATGAGTGTAAAATGTTGTACAGTAGACAAGAGTAGAGTATTACGGTACGATATAGTAATAATCCTGAATGATACCAATTCCCAGCTTGTGAAAACGCTAAGTTGCAATATGACATGGCATGAGAACACACATCAAGATGCACTTTGAGAAACGCGGAACCGATTTGCAGGTACATAAAGTTTTATTACACTATTATTATATCTTCATCTATATAGTAAGTTCCTCAATAAAAGCCACGTTACTCGATTATTTTACAGGAAGAAAATTATATAACGTGCGTGCTTGATGACGAAACGGTTCTGCCTACTCCAGAGCCTGCTCCGGCCACCACACCTGAGGAAATCCCAGCAGAGGTGCAAGTAAATGGTAAAACAGAGGTACGAAAGAGCCCTCAGCCACCTCCACCTCCTCCACCTCCAACGGTGACCAACAAGGTGAAGCAAGAACGTGAGGACACGCCACCTCCTGAAGAAAGTCTGGATCCAAGCAGGAGTGGTCCCCGATACTGCAGGTCTTGTGACATCAGCTTCAATTATCTGAGCACGTTCATTGCTCATAAGAAGTTCTACTGCTCGAGCCACGCCGGAGAAGCGAGTAATAATAACAACAATAATAATAACAATAATTCGAGCAGTCACGCGACGACGCCACCAAGGGGCAAGACCGAGGCGTCCGTGCTTTAAGAGACTTCTCTCAGGATGGGACTGTTAATTGTTGCCAGTTTATATATAATATAATTGCCGACTATCCGATTTAGTTGACTACCGTTGTGTGATTTCTGTTGATCCAGGGAATTGTTTGTACTTATGTAAGTTGAGTTGTCCGACGTGGTGTTGTACATACGCGGTGCGTGAACGGACGTAAGGAGGAGAGCTGCGTAAAGGAGTAAAAAAATGTTTAAAGAGCAGGTTAGACGATTGTGGCGACGTTTGATAGTTCGCTTTGGATCAAATGTTGGAGGAGATGAAAAGATTCGAGATGATGTACCAAAGTGAATTGTCGAATGGAAACATGTCTAGGTTATGAAAGAGATCCTTGTTGCGGTTAGATTATTAACTGTCAAGCCGGTCTCGAACGCCATGATCGATACAAAAGGTGTGCAATCTCATGACTCTTCAATAATCTCGTAGTTGTAACTGATAATCGACACATACCTAAGGAATTACGGAAAAAAAGTAACGATGAGTGTAAAATGTTGTACAGTAGACAAGAGTAGAGTATTACGGTACGATATAGTAATAATCCTGAATGATACCAATTCCCAGCTTGTGAAAACGCTAAGTTGCAATATGACAGACGAGTAAGTACGTTGATAACTGTATCCAGACTGCCATATAAGAAAGAACGATCGGAGTCGTTTTCTGTCGACAACAAAAATAAACCGATGGCCCGTAGTATTTCTCCTCGAATCAAAGGATACGGTGTAAATTGGATCCCCTTACCAACGCATTTGCTTCGTTAACATTGCAATCAAAAGAAATGGCATCGCATGTACTTGTATACAAGTGACGGATTCGTTGCAAGCGCGTAAATGTAAAAATTAGAATTAAGGCCAGTGTTACACGTATACGCAGCGTACTATTCATATCACATAACGAGTTCGTTAAAAAGGCGTGAATTTTCTCCGCGTGTGAACGAATCGACGATGAGAGAGAAAGTGTGAAAGAGACCGAGAGAAAGGGAAGAAAAAAGATACGCGAAAATGTTGTAATCCGAACGTTGTCCGACATTGAACGATGGCAACAACGTTTCCGAAGAAAAATCTCAGTTACATGAAAATTGTTTTTTCGTATTTCGGCGAGTAGAATAGTCAGATAAACCGCGAATGTTCGCAGATACTTTTATAAAAGGTAATTGTTATGTTATTTACAGGCCTCCCGCTAATTGCTGTCTAAAGGAAAGCGAGATTCCACGATATTCCATTTACGAAATAAATACAAAAGATTTGATAACACATCACGGAGAAGCTACTTTATTGCTGAACATTTGTAAATCTCTTATCTGGTACTTCCAACAATTTGTTATACATTATAAATCTGGTATATTATTATATGCCATATCGTCGAAAACGGTTCTTTTTCTAAACACCTATAACACACCCTCCTTTTGTCACTACGACGTCTAGGTTTACCTTCTATTGTTTTTATTTTGATAGATGAATTTTACATACAAAATATATCTATATAAATATGTAATAAATATATAGACATAAATAAAATTCTAAGATCTTTATGACCCTTACTTCTATGTAGTGGGAGAAATAATTTTAACTGGTAAAACTTACTTTCAAAAACAGTTTTAATTATAAAGCAAGAAATATTGATTTTTACCTTACATGATATGAAATCTGTTATAATAACATTGTTAATTATGTAGTCATTTTCTTTCAGTATAAGAAGACTCACACATAAGTAAATTGTACTGCTTTACATCTTCTAATCTAAATTTATTTTCATTATCACTTGGAGGTTTAATGTTACTTGCTGTCTATACTAGTTATCACTAATTACAATTTTCATTATTTTCATCTGAGTCAGATGTACATATACTTCGATGATCCTCATCCTCATCTAATTCTTTTTTTATCCTTGCTTTATACCTTGCATACTTATAACCATAAGCCTCTACATCTGCTTTATCAACTGCATAAACAAAATCATCTTCTTCTGACAAATCTGATCCATCTTCTAGATTCATTTTCCTAACAGCTTCCCTCATATCATCCTCTTCGATTGATGCCTCAGAGTGATTGGAATCATCAGGGTAATCATTTCTCCAATTTGACTCAGAATTAGAATCCTCTGATTCACATTCAGCTTCAGAATAACCATTATCTCTATAATTATCGAAAACTAATTCTTGATCATATGGATGCACAGATACCTTAAAATCTATACACATGTCATCCTCGGTTTGTACATAGTACAAATCATATACATAACTCTCATCCTGTGAAACATTATATAGATTATAGAGATAAGTTAAAAAAATATATAGTAAGAACACGGTTTTTACTTTTTCTGCAGAATCTTTCTTTGCTATAGATTTCGAATCTTCCACATCTATCACTGTCATGACATTTTCCTCAGAGTCTTCAACAGTGGAGTTATCCAAAGAACGGAAACAATTAACTACTTTATAACGATTTTCTGCTGAAGCCTGTTTTGTTGTTTCCCTTACTTTATTTATAACATCTACAGGATGTTGTTTGAAATTTGCTTTTAAATCATTTATATCGTAATTTTGAATAATGTGTTCGACACTCCCTTGCTATAGGAATAAAATAAACGTTAATTCAATTCTACTGTAATATTCAGTTTGTTAAGAATAATTAAAATAAATAAATAAAACCTGTTTTTTAACTGTTCCAGCAAATGTTGCAACTGTGGTTAGTGGAGCCGATAACGTTGTTTCAGCTTCCTCATTTTTAGCAGTTTTTTGTCGTTTATACGAAATTACTAAAGCATTTAAAGGTTCGTCGTCATGTCGACGTTTTACACGTAATATCGCTGCCATTTTTATATATTTCTTTCACCAAAACACTCTAACAAAACTTTTATACGAGCACTGATAATTCACGTCTTTATTCTAACCCGTATTACTAGTTTGACGTTCACGCTACAGTACAAGTTGTCCTATTTTGAGGTTAGAATCGTTTTCAGCAGTCGACATATCGATTATCATTCGCTGGCCTGGTCAGCAACAACGCTGGCAGGGCGTAGAAATTCTCGGTATGTTTTCGACTTGGAATTTGTTCATTTTCTTCATATTAAACGATTTATGAAAGCCTGATCGTTGATTTCGCTTAAAATGAAGCGTTAATATTATTGCAAAACATGGCGCAATCTATTTTCGACGCTTTATCAGGTAAAACTTTTCTATTGTAGAAATAGGTGGGGTTAACCAACAAGTATCTTATTTATCTTTCCCTCTAAAAGAAAATTCAGATACTATTTTAGGTATTTAGAAGCATTATTTTTTCTGCTTTATAGGTGTATCATTGGACAGTCCTTCTGTGCAATCGTTATTGGAGTCTCAGACTTTAATAACTGAAGTTGAACAGTCAGGTAGGTTAATGATGGAGTAATATTGATAACCTATTAACTGGAGATTTTTCACTAGAATAATTTGTGTAAGATAAATTTATGATGAATATTTTCATATTCTATACTTAGCAATTGATCAAGATGAGGAAGATATATTTCAATGTGGAAAATGCAAAAGCCAATTTACATCATTGCACATGTTTGTGTTGCACAAAAGGACGCACCAAAAAGCCCAAGAGCAAACAGTAGATTTGAGTCAGTTTTTGGTGAATGATGAGAGTCAGACTGTTCACACAGAAGACAATAGTCAAGATGTAACACAATTTAATCCACAAGAAACATTTGTTCAAAATGATCAACTTAGCGAACCAATTATACTTGAAGAATCAGATATGCTATTTAGGTAAATTATAATGGTTAAAAGTATTTAATATATAATGAATGACATTTCCTTTTCAGTGAAAGACATATCCTATATCTGTTACAGCATGGATCAAGAGGGTGCTAATTACTTTACAACAGATTCCACATTTAGTGTTCCAATTATATTAAGTTCAGAAGGTTTAGATACTTTTGCAAACTCTACTATTCCAGGGGATAATGAACCCATGAAAGATGATTCAAACGAAGTACCTCATGTTCTCCAAAGTGATATTTCTCAAGAACAAAACATTAATGATACAGATAAAGTTGATATACCAATGACTGACAGTCTAACAGAAAGTCCAACAACAGAATCAGAAATTTCTACTAATCAAATGCAAAATTTAAAATGTATTTTTATGAAATAATAAATTGCTTTATATTATTTTTATTAAAATTCGGATATTCTTCAATCAATCGAAATTTTCCGTTGCAGTATAAGTGTGGTTACTGCAGCAAGCAATTTTCGAAAAAATTTTATTGGCAACAACACGAACGTTCTCATACAGGGGAAAAACCATATCAGTGTGTTGTATGCGGACGTGCATTCGCACAAAAATCAAACGTTAAGAAACATATGTCATCACATAAAGTGTGGCCAGGCACCGCTATACACTCGTTGCCACCAGAGGTATTTTAAACATTTTGGCACGCATCTACGACCTCCCTTTGCATCTCCCTTTTTTTAATAGTTCACCATTGTTAGGCACCACCAGACGGAAGCATAGATCGTACCTATCATTGTCAGTTTTGCAAAGAAATATTTGACTCGTACAAAGCTCTAAAGGGCCACCTTATAGTCTCTCACCTAGCACTAAAAGTGTACAAATGTGTGCAAAGTAGTTGTAGTATGATGTTTGCCGAACTCGAAGATTTTTTGGAGCATACCCGTAGCCATAAGCGATCAGAGTATCGTTGCCACGTGTGCGGTGAAGTGTTTAATACTCTGTCTGACCTGGGGCTCCATCAATATGCTCACTCCGTCCAAAAACAAAAAACCACAGAGAAATATTACTGTTGTTCCGTTTGTAAATCCTCTTTCTCGAATTTGGAGGCGTTGCAACATCATACAGAAACCACAACGCATGATTATGCTTGTCTGCATTGCGGAAAGAGTTTCTTGATCGAACGATTTTTGCGGCGTCATTTGAAAACGCACGCCTCATCCGCACGATTTGCCTGTGAGGATTGCGGAAAGGCCTTTAAAACTGAGCAATACTTAGCCAATCATAAGTTAATACATAGCGAGGAAACGCCGTTCCTATGTCCAGTGAGTGATTTCCAGGTCGATTAAGAGATTTAACAAATCTTTTCGCATATTAATTATACGTGTAATTCATTTATTGTAGCATTGTCCAGCTAGATTCAAGCGAAAAGACCGTTTGGGTCGTCACATGTTAATTCATGATCTAACAAAGAGATTAAAGTGCCCCTTCAGAGGTTATTTAGGCTGTATGAGCGAATTTTCTCGACCTGACAAATTAAAGCGTCATCTCCTGACGCACAGCAATATCAAAAGATTTAGTTGTAGTCATTGTAATCGTAATTTCCATCGGGCACAAGCTCTTAAGCATCATGAAATGAATAAACATAGTTTGAAATGCGAAATTTGTTCACACGTAAGTGTCACATTCGACCAAGTTCACAAAAAAATAAACGAATTAAAGTAAAAATTGATCTCCTAAAATTCACATTACAGGCATTTAAAACTAAAGAACAATTGCTAACTCATAATTGCGATCAGTCGAGTGAGACTAAGAAGCATATGAGTTCACAGTTACCTAAGAAAGTTTCTGGATCATTTAAGCCAAGGAAACCTACTCCAAAGAGACAAACATCATCAAAGACTGCAATTGGACTTGCTGATAAGGAAAAACTAGAGAAATTTAAGGCTGACGAAATACAAAGAAAAGTATGTGTACAATCGTAACGTTTTAGTGTATGAACATTTATTATTATACAGAAACTTAGAATGTAATCGTTCGTCTCTTAGATCACCTGTGAAATGTTAAAGTCTGACGACTACAAAGACGAAACCTGTACCAAAAAAATAGAGAACATTTCCGTATCAAAAGAGATCGGTTCAACAATTGAAGCACTGATCAAATCAGACACAGCGGACAATGAAATCAAACGCAACACTGATACATATTCGGTACAACAAACGAGCGAATAGAGTTTTTAAATATATTTTTTAATTGTATTTAAATTATAATATAGTCTAGGCTGTAGATAAGTTGTCATACTACGTGCAATGGGATCATTGGCAAACTGCAAGTTGCATTTGAAATTTTCGCGGGAGATTTTCGCGGGAGATTTCCGATATCGTAACACGGTATAATTTATCAATTTTCACAATTTTGTTATAAATTTATACTTCCGACAATTTGTTATAACATTGCATATAACAATTTATACGTTTTTACAATATTCTTCAATGGAAACATAGGTTTTAGCGTTCTCGTTACTTACTCGTGGTTAAATTAATTTCGTAGGGATTAAAAATCAGGTTGACCTGTGGTCGTAGATTAAAAATAGTGATAGTACAGCTAAAATTATCGTGTTAAATAATTCTTTTCCTACGAATCAAAAATGTATTCAACGTTTGTTTGTTATAATATCGTGAAATGAATTATATTACACATTTTCTCTATTCACACTGAATTTAAAGATTATAACGATTAAAAATCAAGTTGACCTGTGGTCATTTATCAAGAATAATCATAATAAAGCTGAAATTATTGTGTTAAATAATTTTTTTAATACGAATTAGGAATTTATTCAACGTTTGCTTGTTACTACTTGTTACAGTATACTGTCTCGCAATGTAAATTTAAGTAAATTAGGTTGAACTGCACAGAAAATGCACAGAACTGCACAAATAATTTATTTCATGGTATTGTAACAAGCAAACGTTGAATACATTTTTCATTCGTGTAAGAAGAATTATTTAACACGATAAATTTAGCTGTACTATGGTTATTTTTAATCTACGACCACAGGTCAACCTGATTTTTAATCCCTACGAAATTAATTTAACCACGAGTAAGTAACGAGAACGCTAAAACCTATGTTTCCATTGAAGAATATTGTAAAAACGTATAAATTGTTATATGCAATGTTATAACAAATTGTCGGAAGTATAAATTTTTAATAAAATTGTGAAAATTGATAAATTATACCGTGTTACGATATCGGAAATCTCCCGCGAAAATCTCCCGCGAAAATTTCCCGCCTGACCTAACCGACGATTTTGCTAATGACTTTGGGGAGAGGGTACCGCAGGTATATAAGGACCCGCCGATGTCCCGCGAAATCATTTACCCTTTATACTGGGCCCTAGACACTTCGCGGCGTATTTTGACCTGAAGGTTCTGAGATGTGAATAGAGTGGTCGGGGGCTACTAGCTAGTCTATGTCCACCCTGTACACACTCAGCCTTCTTGTAACACTTGTATACATTAGAATCAATTAGAATTTCTATTACTAATTATTAAACAAATTTTAACAATTACCGGCACTCGCTAGGCACGTAATATCAGACTTTAAATACTCGACTTCGAACTTCGGTTTAGTCATAATTCTATTAATGTTATAATAACGTATAATTTATTAATTTTCACAATTTTATTATTAATTTATACTTCCAAAAATTTGTTAAAACATTACATATTATTATTTATACATTTTTGCAAGTTTCTTTGACAAATAAGTACGTTTCAACGATCTTATTACTTTCTCGTTGTGAAATCAAGTTCGGAGGATTAAAAATCAGGTTGACCCTTGGTCGTAAATTTAAAATAGCCATAGTGAAGGTGAAATTATTATTTTAAATAAATGTTTCTATACGAATTAAGAATCTATTCAACGTTTGTTTGTTGCAATACCGTGAAATAAATTGTATTATATATTTTCTCAGTTTAGACTGAATTTAAAGTTTGTAAGGATTAGAAATCAGGTTGACCTGTGGTCGTAGATTAAAAATAGCCGTAGTGAAGGTAAAATTATTACGTTAAATAATTGTTTTTATACGAATTAAATATTTATTCAACGTTTATTTGTTGCAATGCCGTGAAATAAATTGTATTATATATTTTCTCAGTTTCGACTGAATTTAAAGTTCGTAAGGATTAGATATCAGGTTGACCTGTGGTCGTAGATTAAGAATAGCCATAGTGAAGGTAAAATTATTACGTTAAATAATTGTTTTTATACGAATTAAATATTTATTCAACGTTTATTTGTTGCAATACCGTGAAATAAATTGTATTATATATTTTCTCAGTTTAGACTGAATTTAAAGTTCGTAAGGATTAGAAATCAGGTTGACCTGTGGTCGTAGAATAAAAATAGCCATAGTGTAGGTAAAATTATTACGTTAAATAACTGTTTTTATACGAATTAAATATTTATTCAACGTTTATTTGTTGCAATACCGTGAAATAAATTGTATTATATATTTTTTCTGTTTACACTAAATTTAAAGTTCTGTTTACATGTTATAACAATTAGAATGTAGACGTTTTGCCGTTTCACGGTTTTTCCTCTGTTAATTATGTGTTTATAAATCATTTCAAACTAAAGCAGCACCATGCCCACCCTTAATTAAACCGTCTCAGTAGTTTACCGTAATTAATAATCTATTTTCGGAATTTATACGAGAATTTTTGAATTTTAGTAAATACTAGAGTCAGTGCATCGCGTATTGAAATAATAGCTTATACAGATAATCTTTTGAAATTACTCTTAATTAGGGAAAATCTTGAATCTTGTATGGAAGATGAAGATTTTCAGGAAATATTTATTTTTCAACAATGAATTTTTGTTTTATCGATTAATAACGTACGAAATGATTTTTGGAAAATTTTCTTCGTTTGAACGTTCGTTTAAGGTTCGACTATGATTATCAAATCTCTCGAAACACCGTAGAATGTTCAATTTTAAAAGTAACTTCTTCAATTTTTGGATAATCTGGGTAACGTGTTAGTGTTGACGATACACTTTCGAGTATAGACGTTAAAGTTCATAGAGTGGTCGGGGGCTACTAGCTAGCCTATGTCCACCCTGTACACACTCAGCCTTCTTGTAACACTTGTATACATTAGAATCAATTAGAATTTCAATACAATAGACTGAATAACAATTCATTTTAACTAATACCTATTAGAAATTTTCCTTTTAAAACAAATATAAATCATTTTACCAATTACTGGTACTTGCTAGACATTTAATATCAGACTTTAAATATTCTCCTTTCGGTTCTTTTAAATACAATCAAATAATTTCTTCAATTATCGATACTGACTTGGAATACTCCGCTTCGAATAAAATATTTCGAAATTATTTTGAAGGTTTAGGGAAATAAACATTTGAATTTTAGTCATCGTTGTTCTTCAGACTTGTCGAATAGGATATTGAAATGACTTTGAGAGGTTGCCTTTTCGTTACTTTTCTTCCAGCAATTGAAATTAATTTGAAATTTTTCATATATTTTCTCTGATATTGAAATCTCGTAAAGGAAACCGACTGGTGTAGCTTTACACACTTGACTGACTGCGAGCGAGATAACATGGGCGCACCAATGACGCAGATCTAGGCGTAGGACCATCTATACTGTCACTTGTTTTTTTTTTCTCCAAGAATCTTTACAATTTGTCCAGTCACTTGTAAAATCCAAACTTACTGACTCTTGTAGAGAATTTACTATACTTGGCGGAAAAGCTATAGCACGGTATACAAAGGAAGAAGTAATCTTGTACGTTGTGGACGTTAGAACGCATTTTCGAGATTAGTTCTTAAAGGAAGTGGTTAGAGAAAACCACAACCACCATCTCCTTTCTCGTATTATCGTTTCCAATTCTGTTTAGTAGAAAAAAAACTGTGTTCCTATGCATTGCCAGTAAAACGATCTCTTATTGAAAGTTCGGTATATAGACAAATAAAGTGTGACAAATTATATTTTGAACAATGCCTTCTCGGGGATCTTATCAAATAGCTAGGGTAGGAGAAGGCAAAGCAGCCGAGCGGGATGAATCTTACAAAAGTTGCATTGCAACATTATTAATATTTCTTTTTCTCATTATTATCTTTATCGTGGCCGGTTTACTGTGGAAAAAACCTAACACTTACTACCCTACAGAAGAAGACACATATGTAGGAACAGCGCAGGTAAATCTCTTTTTGAAACGTTAAAAATTATTAAAAAATATTAACATACGTACATACATATAATCGGATTGGTGCAGCATCATCATCACGAACATGAAGTAGAGCATCATACCAAACGAACGACAACTACGACGACAATTAAGTATTACTTAGATCCTACAATTTCTTCTGTGGATGAATCGAATTCATCCTCTGCAGATGAATCAACTTCTTCCTCTGTGGATGTATCGAATTCATCCTCTGCAGATGAAACATCTTCATCTTCTGTGAATAAATCAACTTCTTCCTCTGTGGATGAATCGAATTCATCCTCTGCAGATGAAACAACTTCATCTTCTGTGAATAAATCGAATTCATCCTCTGTGGATGAATCAACTTCATCCTCTGCAGATGAAACAACTTCATCCTCTGTGAATGAATCGAATTCATTCTCTGTAGATAAATCGGAAAAGTTAGAAACCACATTACCCTTCGAGGTATCGACTCAAGAATATGACGTAGTAACTATCACAAGTCGGAATTATGATTATGCATCTAAATTTGAGAAACTCTTAAACGCTGAAACTACCACGGAAAATATATCAACAATCGTAACAACCAATAACGAGTCTACAATTGAGAAACAATTATACGATGATTCAACAATTGATTCTTTCGTGGAAAGTAATAATACATTAACTTCGACCACGGAAGAATATGAAGTAAGCAGTATCGATCAATTTAAGATCGATACCACGGAAGCTCCTACTTCTACGGATTCAAATTCGATTAGCGAAGAAACCTCGTTCGGTAAATACGAAACTACAACGTACAATAATGTTACCGAAAATGAGGAAAATGTCACGATGGAATCCACCACTGAAAGTTTTCGAAATTCAGTTACTCAATTTACAACATTGAGTATGATGAAACATACCACCATGAGCGAACCTATAATTACGAGTACTAATTCACCGAATAATAAACAAATATGTGAATCAGGTGAATGTAAAAATCTGGCAAGCAAAATCTTGTTTTACATGAATCACACGATGACCGATCCGTGTGACGATTTTTATGAATATGCTTGTGGTGGCTTCGAGGCCAATCCGCAGACTATAGATAGGAATTTGGAAGATGTGGCTTATCAACGCATTTTACGTGTGTATCGTTTAGAATAAAAATTTTTAATTACTGGAGAAAAAAAGTGAAGGAAAATCTAACTCTTTACGTATGAGATGTTCATGTAGTTCGAAGTAAAAATAATCCTTTTTTATTTATTTTTTTCCTTCGCTTTTAATAATCAAAAATACAAAATTCTATTTAAAAAAGCGTACAAAATAAATAAAAAAAAAATGTCAGAGAAAAAATTCTTTGCATGCAACGCTTACTTTTAATTTAATTAATTAGGACAAATGCAGTTGGAAAATTACGAAGGTAAATCGACACTTTTCTCCAAATACTATAACAGCTGCATACAATATGAAAACGTGAATATAACGGAAAGGATCAAGCTGGGTACGTTGGTAAAAATACATAGTCTAACTAGTTTATCTAGCATCGAATACACATTTTAATGTACAATATGTGGCATATAACATATTCTTTACAGCGAAAAAGGAGTTAGACAGGGTAGGAAAGTTTTACACTACCAGCAGTTGGGCTAAACATCATACAAACTTCACCGAGCTGCTGGCTAAACTATTATTAAACAACAGGTAGGAGAAATTATAGACAACGGACTACCAAAATATCGCACGTCGCGCTCGCCTAATAATATATAATATTTCGCTTTTTTGTAATTTTCTAGAGCTTTATTGTTCGACGTCACACCAGACCTAGATGAGTATTCTCCAAAGCAATTCACCCTTAAAATAGGTCCGACTATGAACAACAATCCGTTCAACGCTAATAAATTTAATACGGATGATCCCTGTTACGCGAGTCAATTCGAAAGAGAAAAAGAGGAGGTGAACCTAAACCAACTGTACACGGACTATGAAACGTGCAAAGTACACGAATATGTATAGAATATTAACACATTTCGCGTGTGCCACATAAAAGTACATTCTTTTTTATCATATTTTTGCGAATGCTTTTAGTCTCCAGTTCAGTAGCAAAATTGTCAATACTGAATGCACCAAAATATTAAGTACTTTTACAGATATTTTTAAATTCAAACAAAAATTTTTATCAGTGGTTGAGCAAGTTTCGTATTTGCAGCGCGAAATATGTAAAAAAAAAATGAGAAAAAATAGGAAATACACTCTTGTAAAGATATAAACACATCCTCCCTTCACTTTTGTTAGAAAAACACACAAGAGTACATAAAATCCATCCAAGAAGCCTTAGAAACTTTCGACGTGTTCAACGAGCTGAACAATTCGTACAATATCTCCCAGTACATAAAACTCACATACATTAGCATCGATCTGGAGATAGTGCAAAAATTTTTCGCGGTAAGTCTTCATCCGAATTCTCTTTGTGATTATATTTCCTTCTAACTTTTTCTTCTCGACGTTTCAGAATTTCCCGTCCACGGACAAAATTCACGAGACATATCTTATGAAGAACTACACGCTCGTCTCCATCGAGGAATTGGAGAAAAATTTTCCAATTGTAAGAGAGGAAATTTACATGCGCAATTTCACGTTTAACTTATACGATTGATATGTTCTGTAATGTGCTTTTAGATAAATTGGTCGCAACTAATTTATAATCTAACGAAGGAGGTGATTGTACCGAAAACAAAGGCGATGTTACTGCATAACGCGCTATTAGGATTGTATGCACGCAATCTTTATCACGAGGTACTCTTGTTTTCACGATTATTTTCTTCATCTCTTATTTTCTTTACATTTTTTAAGTATTTTTTTTTTCTTTTCTTTAGTTAGTTTTATCGAAACATCGAGACATTGAAAGACAGTGCATTCACGTAGCCGCGAATCTTCTAATCTCGGAAGCTTCGAACTTGTACATCTCTTCATTTTCGAAGGATCAACTCACGCATATGAATAAGACTGTAAGAGGTCATTATTTTATATACGACGATCATTCAAGATGTTCATTTACAGGATAACTAATTATTCGAACGTGTAACTTAATAGATATATAGTTTGTTCGGGAAACTTAAAGAGACATTAAAATTAAAAATCAAGGAGGTAGAGTGGCCGACAAAAGAGGGACGTAACGCGTTGATCGCAAAAATAGATAGTCTGAAAGTTGTTGTGCCTGATATTTCATATTTTACCGATGGTAAATCGACTTATATGATAAACAAAGCAAGCGAGGTACGAGAAACAAAATTTTTCAATTTTTTAAGGGGATTATAATAACTGTGTGCGTAATTGTTATATTACTAACTTGTAAAAAGTATTTCTATTATATATCTTCTATTATATATCTTAATGATACTTTAAATCCAGGTAAATTTATCAGATAATTATTTCGAGAATACGGTGACTTTGATGCAAATGTATCGAAAGCTAATATACGCAGAATTCTTTACAAATCCGGACTATCCTGAACAAATGTAAGTTCTTATGATTAAATGTAAGTATACGAAACGCTATTACGTTGCTCTATTATACAAGTTAATATACATATGTATAGCTGGACACACTACGCAACACCGTACCAGTCCAAAGGGCTTGCGATTTATGGGCTGAATCTTGTTATAATACCATTTGGTGTGATAGACTGGTCCATGAACTATGACGAACATTTGTTTGATTACATAACATTGGCGACACTCGGTAACGTAATAGCACACCAAATTGCTCATCACTTCGACGCAAATGGTATGTTAGCAATATATAACTTTATAATAGCGTAATAATCAGTGTCCTTATAAATTTGTAACAGTAGATTCTTAAGGAAATTCAGAAAAATTTTATCATCCAAATGTCAAATAATATATCATTTTAATGTATTACTCGGTACATTAGGTATCTATTATTGGAATGGGACACGCGATGCCAAGAACTCTTTGTTACACGATAATAATTCTACATACATGAATTTCAAGGAGTACATTAACAATCAAAGAAGTGTCTTTGATAAAAATCTTATAAGTATGACGTTAGCGTCCACAGGACAAACTGTGCATTACGAAGTAAATTCACACATTCGTTTTTTCTATAAAATTATTATGATGTAAAAATATTTAAAGTAAATCAAACACGGTCTTAAAAGCAGTAATAAATTTTTTGTTCTTTTTCTAAACTCGTTTCAGATTTCGCAATTGACACTAAACGAACGTCTCTCTGAGACAATGGGACTCAGATTAGCTTATGATACTTTGGATCGACTGAGATCACCTGAGGAAGTTCATCTTCCTTGGCTTGAACTTAATGTCGAGCAGTTATTCTATCTCACCTATGCTCAGGTACTCTTGTTACAGTAAAATTTATGGCATTAGTATATTAATAAAACTACAGTCACTATGATAATTACCATATGTAGAGCTTTTCATCACGATTCTTATAGATGCACTGTACGAAGACACCACTTACGTCATCGTATATATCACTATACGAGAACGAACAGCTACCAAGTCGAATTCGTATTTTCGTCTCTGCGTTTAACAACAGGCTTGTCGGCGAAGCTTGGAACTGTCCGGAAGGTTCACGGATAATGCCAAGTTACTCTTGTAGCGCATTTCCGTATCTTCAGTGTAACGAAACAACCGAAACAGCCGAAGCGATGGAAGTAACTATGATGCGTAAATGATACAGCGACCAGTTTTTTTTTTCTTTTATAAGGAAGCGTGATTAAGTGGTAACAACGCTCTCCATTTATTCTCAGGAACAAGATTTTTTTTTTCATAACATTCACACGCAAACAGGCGCAGTATGCAAACATCAGACGAGCACATACATTCATCAGCAGCCTAGTAAATTTGTTTAACTTTTTCGACTAGAACATTTGATAGTGTAAAGAATTCACCCTTAAGTCTGTCGTTTTTTGTCATGAACCTGTTCATAATTGTTTTTTCTCCAACAAGTCCACAGATTTTGTAGAGTGAACCATGTCCCCTGGAACATAAATTAATTGCTACAAATGTGTATTAATACTGTAATGTAAGGGACCAATGATGAACTGAGCTGTGACAAAATGTTTATATCAATTTGAATATACACTCATGCATTCATATTTACAAATATTCATAAAGTATCTTTACACTTATTATCATATTATCCATATACTTGTAAATTCTTACATAAAATGGTAGAAATGCATTCAGAAATTAATGTTTTTCAATATTGAAAACAAAATCAAACACATCCATGACACAGTTTATTTGGTTTTGACATCATTCATAGCAGTTAAGTAACAGATTGCAGAATGTTTAAATAGCACTGCTGCTTTATATTTAGTAGCCAGTTAATTATAAGTCAATAGCCCAGTACACTATCGGCTTAAACGTTATTTACATTTCAAAAAATTGTAGTAGACATCAACACATACCACTGCTAAGGGTTACATCCAGATGGCTGTTGTCTAGTTGAGTAATACACTGTTTTGAAGTAGCTTTCTTTTCCGTCTGAAAGGACAAGAGCCATGCAAACAACCATTGAAAACAAAAAATGACACAAATGGATCATACAGTTAGTTGCAAAATGAACAATGTTAAATTCAACTCTAAAGCACAAAACACATACCTCAAAGTACCGATGCCATAAAACACAGCCATAGACACAAAGAACTGAGACTAGAGATTGGCAGAGTAGCCATAAAAGAATGTTTAATGCTTGAGTACGCTCAAATAATGTAGCACCATGCCTTATACATAGTAATGCTTCTGTAACCATAATTGCACCATAGACCCAACATTGGGTCCCTACTCTACTACATGTTGGATCTGTTACAAACATGTAGTATTGCCTATAATTATGTTAAAATGTTATACTTCATAAAACAATAGATCGTATAATGAATTGTTACAGTTGTTTTAATAATTGTTTTAGTAATAAATGTAATAAGAATTTTAGACAAATCTAATTCATTTCATTACAAATTTCGCCTACCTAACAGAAGGTGCAACAATTACTCCAATTAATACCAATCTTGTTATGACAAATGGATGAGAAGGTGGAAATTCATATACGTGCTTCAAGAAAAATGTATTCAGCTCTGAAACCTGCCAGAAAATTACCAACTGACACAGAGCAACAAATCTCATATATGTACAAGTTGGATCCAACCACCTAACAGCAGTCCAACTGCCAGGAGTAAATTGTAGCATAGCTCTCTTTAATTTTCCAGTGGTGCTCTCAATGTCAAGGATGCTTACCCACTTGTACTCTCGCATTTCCAAAAGGGAACAAATTTTTAATCCAACCCAAATACCCAAACCATTACAAACAACTACATCAAGTATAAAAGCATCCCACCAACATTCCACAAAATTTGGTAGTAAATGAGCAAATGCTATTTCTGTTACTTCCCACATTACACTAATGGCCCAAAGAATACCAAGATGGCGAATAAGAATTGCTTTAAAAGTCCATCCTAAGAAATGGGCTACTGCAAAAATATCTAAATGGTTCCATATCTTCTCTACTGTAATCTCTGAACAATTAACACCATATTCTTTGTCCATATCAATGTGAAATGATGCCAAACTAGGATCTATCCAAACAAAGATATTTCTAACTGTATCATAATCTTGAAACAGTAAAAATAACAGGCCCATTAGATATAGGACACTGCAGCCAAATACAAGTCTCCAAACAACTGGATGAGGTCTAGTAAATGGTCCATTTGGAAATGTGAGAATTGATATGATAAGAAAGAAAAATATGATGCAAAGTATTCCAGCCCAAATGTTGTCCTCGATATTTGTAGTATTCCTGCATTAAATTAACACCGATATTTACATAATGTAAAATTTATGAAGCGAAAAAAATCGAATATTCAATTACCTAGTGAATGCAGAATATATCACAGCACCAATCGCGATGAGAAGCAATGTAATGCTGTGCGGCTTATAAAAGAATTCAATCGAAATATCATCAACCGGCCTCTCATTGATATTTGGAAAACTATCCGTGGCGTGTCGTAATTTGTGCCCTTCAATGTTATCTGTACTACTCCGGCAATTCACAACTTTCTTTTCATCAGTCTTGACAAGTCTCTCTAAGAGACTGTCATCTAGACATTCTTCATTAGTTGTCATCCCAAAAGAGTAATTATTCGTTTCAAATCCTTATTTTGAACATTTCACACATTGTTTCGCCACGTTTTCACCTTCGGTTTCTATGCACGCTACCACACTATTGAGTAATTTACAATTCGCTTAAGCACACATGAACAAAATTTCAGACAGGAAAGTACTACGGTGATCAGTTTACTTCCGCTTACGCGACTGCAGTTAAATAAAAAAGAGCTCTTAATCAATCGTCTTGTTTGCGTGTCAGCTGATTGGATACGAGAAAACTTCTTTGCAAGCAAGCCTTTATATATATATCAAACAGCTGTACAGATGTCAGGACTACTTCTTTATATGAAGTAGGTTTGTCCCGCCTATTTTTTCACCTCATTATTAATATTTCTATATACTTTTTGGAAAGTTCTCATATTTCTAACAAAAAATGGCGGATTACTTGGATGCCGAAGCGGAGGAAAGCGAGGTACGCAGTAAAATAATTAAAACATAAAGAATAAGAACATTTGGTTTCATATAACCTAACGTTTTTATGTTTTAGGAGGAAGAAGAATTGAATGTTAACGAAAGGAAAAAACTTAAAAGATTAAAAGCTATGCACGACAGTGACGATGAAGATGATGATGACGGTATGAAAAGATCTTTGAAAATATACATGCTTCAAGAAAAAATGTATCTATTATTTGGTTTAAGATTCATACTTCTAAGGTCTTGATGTTTCTAGAAACTATTGCTTCATACACCACAGTGAAGATTTATTCAGTATTAATAACACATAGATTTATGTTACTTAAGAATATTTTTATTTAAATGTTACATATTTTTAATATTTAGAGGATGAAGGAGAAGTCCCAGGGCTTATCGACGATAATCCAATTGATGAGGATAATGATGGAGATGATAGTGATGGATCAGATAATTCTGGGAAACGTAAAAAAAGTGACGATGAAGATTTTGATGATCGATTAGAAGATGAAGATTATGATCTACTTGAAGAAAATTTGGGAGTGAAAGTTGAGAGGGTATGTATAATTTTTTGGAGTTTTTTTTCTTTTTCAAATACATTGGCATCATTTTATAACATAATTTTATTGTTTAGAAACACCGTTTTAAACGTTTACGTAGAATACAAGATGAAGAATCAGAAGGAGAAGAAGAAAGGGAGGCAGATGATGAGAGAGATGCTATTGCTAATGAATTATTTCAAGGCTCTGGAGAGGTAAGTTTTCAAATCAAATTCATACTTCATTTTATTAAAATTTATTGACTTCATGAAAATTAGTTGAGTATGTACTTTCATTTATAGGAAGATGAGGAGAGAAGTGAAGTTAGCCACAGAGGTGAAGTTGAAGCATTTGATGAAGATGAAAGTGACGATGAAGATGATTTCATTGTGGATGGAGATGGGGTACCCATAACTGAAAAGAGAAAAAAGAAAAAACATATTTTTTCGGACGCGTAAGAATCGTTTGCATTATAAAAAATAGCATACAAAATTTGTTCATAATGTAACCATTTGTATTTCTATTACAGTGCTTTGCAAGAAGCTCAAGATATTTTTGGTATTGATTTTGATTATGATGAATTTGGAAAGTATGAAGAAAACGAGTTTGAAGAAGAAGAAGAGGAAGAGGAAGATGAATATATTCATGATGACTTAGAAGACCGACCAAGACGATCGAAAAAGCATTTGAAGAAAAAGAGCACGAAGAAGAGCATTTTCGAAATATATGAACCTAGCGAACTTATACGCGGGCATTTTACCGACATAGATAATGAGGTAAGAATTATAAATGATTTTAATTTGTTATTAATGTTTATAAGTAATGATTAAATTATCATGATATACGTATTTCAGATTCGTACAACAGACATTCCTGAACGCATGCAACTTCGTACCGTTCCTATTACGCCGACAGCAGAAGGGTCAGATGAATTAGATTTTGAGGCAGAATGGATATATAAACAGGCTTTCTGTCAGCCGACAATTTCTGTCCAAGATGCTCATCTAAATGAAGAAGCCAAAGAAAGAGCTAAAAAGGGTCCGCAAACAGTCGGGAAAATTAAAAAAGCTTTAGATTTCATGCGTAATCAAAACTTTGAAGTTCCCTTCATTTCATTTTATAGAAAAGAATACGTCCTACCAGAATTAAATATCAATGATTTATGGAAAATTTATAAGTTTGATGCAAAGTGGTGTCAACTTAAGCAAAGAAAAGAAAATCTGATGAAATTATTTGTAAGAATGAGAGATTATCAATTAGATGAGATCATGAAAAATCCTGATGCTCCATTATCTGATAATGTACGAGTTATTAAAGACGAAGATATTGAAAGACTTAAAAGTGCTCAGACTTTCGAAGAACTAAATGATATTTATCGACATTTCATGCTCTATTATAATCAGGATGTGTCTGCTATGCAAGAATGTATGCGTAAAAAAGAAAAAGAAGCACGACAGAAAGCTAAAGAAGAGAAAAGAAAACAACAAATCGCAGAAGCCGAAGAAAACGGAGAAGATCCTCCGGAAGAAATTGCTGACGAAGAAGATGAAGAAGAACAAATAGACGAAACATTGAAGCAACCAGTTAGAAAAGGTCCTTATTATATTTGTAAAAAAGCTGGCTTAGATGGGCTAGCTAAAAAATTTGGTCTCTCTCCGGAACACTTTGCCGAAAATCTTCGAGATAATTATCAACGTCATGAAGTTGATCAGGATCCAACGGAACCTACTGTAATAGCTAATGAATTTACCTCGACTATTTTTAACACGAGTGATGAAGTGCTTGAAGCTACACAATTAATGGTCGCAATCCAATTAGCGCATGAACCATTAGTGCGTAAATGCGTTAGAGAAATGTACATGGAAAGAGCAAAGTTATGTGTGAAACCAACTAAAAAGGGAATGAAAGAAATAGATGAAAGTCATGCGATCTATGCGTGGAAATATCTTAAAGACAAGCCTGTGCGGGATCTTGTCGGTGACCAATTTTTAAAATTAATTATAGCAGACGAAGATAAACTAGTTGCACTTTCCTTTAGCGATATGATAGAAGGGAATACTAGTAATAATTATCTGGATGAAATAAAGCAATTGTATTATAGGGACGAATTTAGTAAAAGTGTACAGGATTGGAATGCATTAAGAACTGGCAGTGTTGAAATAGCTTTAAATCGCATTATCATACCGCAACTGAAAAAGGAACTGCGAAACAATCTTGTAGCGGAGGCAAAAGAATGCGTGATGAAAGCTTGCTGCCGCAAAATGTATAACTGGATAAAAATTGCTCCGTATACTTGCGAATTCCCCGACGAAGATGATGAAGATTGGAATACTGGTAAAGGAATTCGTGTGATGGGTTTGGCTTATGTACCTGATCCATCTCAAGCTGCGTTTACTTGCATAATCTCCCCAGAAGGAGAATGCACGGATTATCTGAGATTACCGCATTTATTGAAACGCAAAAACAGCTTTAGAGAAAATGAAAAGATGATGAAGGAGGCCGATTTGCTGGCGCTTAAAAATTTTATCGCTACAAAGAAACCACATATTATAGTGGTAAGTGGAGAATCTAGGGAAGCATTAATGATAGTATCAGATCTGAAGGAATGTATTTCCAATTTGACAGAGGACGAACAATTTCCTACGGTCCAAGTAGAAATATGTGATAACGAACTTGCTAAAGTCTATTCTAACAGCAACAAAGGTATAGCAGAATTTAGGGATTATCCAGACTTGCTGAGGCAAGCTATTTCTTTAGCGAGAAGATTACAAGATCCTTTGTTGGAATTCTCTCAATTGTGTACCATAGATGAAGAAATAATGTGCCTTAAATATCATCCTTTGCAAGATCAGCTTCCTAAAGAGGATCTTATAGAGAATTTATATTTAGAATTTATAAATCGTATAAATGAGGTGGGTGTAGATTTGAACAGAGCAGTTCAACAGCCTTATACAGCAAACTTAGTACAATTTGTGTGCGGTCTGGGTCCTAGGAAAAGTCAAGCACTGCTTAAAATTCTAAAGCAAACTAACCAGAGATTAGAGAATAGAACGCAGCTTATAACTGCGTGTCACATGGGACCTAAAGTATTCGTCAATTGTGCTGGTTTTGTTAAGATAGATACCAATAGTTTAGGAGACAGCACAGAGGCATACGTGGAAGTGTTGGATGGTTCGCGTGTCCACCCAGAAACCTATGAATGGGCTAGAAAAATGGCGGTGGACGCTTTAGAATATGATGACGAGGACGCGAATCCTGCTGGTGCTTTAGAAGAGATTCTAGATTCTCCAGAAAGATTGAAAGATTTAGATCTAGATGCATTCGCGGAGGAACTTGAAAGACAAGGCTTTGGCAACAAATGTATTACTCTTTATGATATAAGAGCTGAACTGAACTCTAGATACAAAGATCTGCGTGTTCCCTATCAATCTCTAAATACCGAAAAGTTATTCGATGTTTTGACAAAAGAAACTCCAGAAAGTTTCTATGTTGGTAAATTAGTTCTCGCAACGGTTGTTGGAATAAGTCATAGAAAACCGCAAGGAGATCAATTAGACCAAGCAAATCCTGTTCGAAACGACGAGACCGGACTATGGCAATGTCCATTTTGTTTGAAAAACGATTTTCCAGAATTATCAGAAGTATGGAATCATTTTGATGCTGGCGCTTGTCCGGGAAAAGCGACTGGAGTTCGTTTAAGATTGGACAATGGAATATCCGGCTATATTCACGTAAAAAATTTGTCGGATAAACATGTCGCTAATCCAGAAGAAAGAGTACGAGTCGGTCAAGTAATTCATTGTCGCATAATAAAGATCGAAGTGGAACGATTTAGCGTTGAATGTACTAGCAAGACGAGTGACCTTCTTGACAAGAATCACGAATGGCGGTAGTGTATCAAAAAAGTCACGAATAATTTTTTTTTAATACTTTTATTGATTTTTATGAATAATATTTTACATATATTATTTTCAGGCCACAAAAGGATGTTTATTACGATGCAGAGGCAGAAGAAAAAGATATGAAAACAGAAGAGGAGGCGAAGAAAGCACAGCAAAGGCAAACTTATGTGAAACGTGTTATAATTCACCCTAGCTTCCATAACGTAAGTTTTGCAGAAGTTGAGAAGTTGATGCAAACCATGAAACAAGGAGAAGCGATAATACGACCAAGCAGCAAAGGAGCCGATCATTTGACCGTAACATGGAAAGTTACAGAAAATATTTATCAACATATTGATATAAGAGAAGAAGGCAAAGAGAATACATTCTCTTTGGGTCGCAGTTTATGGATTGGTAATGAAGAATTTGAAGACTTGGATGAAATTATCGCAAGACACATTAATCCAATGTCTGCATATGTTTCGGAACTTTTGGATTTTAAGTATTACAAATCAACAATAGAAGGTATTAAAGATAAAGCGGAAGAAATTTTGAAAGAACAGAAAAAACAAAATCCTGGTGGAATTCCATACATTGTATCCGCTGCTAAGGTAAATACATTTGAGAATGATCGATATTCTTCATGTTTTCATGCGAATTTAATTATTTTGTTTCATATTTCAGAACTATCCTGGTAAATTTTTACTGTCGTATTTACCACGGGTCCGTTGTCGTCATGAGTATGTTACCGTAACACCTGACGGGTACCGATTTAGAAACCAAATATTCAGTAGAGTAAACGACTTATTCCGCTGGTTCAAGGAACACTTCCGGGATCCTATACCGGGTCAAAGTACACCTGGTACTCCACATGGAGCTATGACTTCCAGAACACCTTACAATGGTACTCCAGTAGTAAATGGTAAATTTCATAATATTATTTTAATATTGAATAATAATTATTGGTTCACTAAATTTTCTTTTTTATTTCAGGCGTGAACTCAGACGCGATACAAAGAGTTGCGCAGAATATGCCACACCACATGCTACATTCTCTCTCGAAAGTAGCGAATCAAACTCCACATTATCCACCATATACCCCCGGAACTGCTAGTGTTAATAATTACGGAATGTATGGAAGTACACCATATACTCCTTCCGGTCAAACTCCATTTATGACCCCATATCCTACTCCACACCATACACCTCACCATCCACAAACACCCAGCCACTCTCAAGGACCATTCTTACAACCAATTCCTCCTGCAATGAATCCAAATTCGCATAGAACTGCGAGACCACACAGATCTGTTACTAATTCGTCTGATACGACGAATTGGACAAAAGCAGCGGAAGCATGGGCTCGTTCGAAGCAGTCTACTTCGAAAGAGTTGTAAGTTCTGTATTTTTAATCGTCGTTGATTATATAACAATGCAATATTATTGTTTAAATTTTAGCAACAGTACTCCAAGATACGATGAGTCTAGGAAAACGCCACGGAACTTAGATAACCAAAATGAAAGGGTAACACCACGCAACAGAACGCCGTCTGCTCGTACTCCGTCTTACAAATCTCCCAGAGGAACTCCATTCACGAATTCTAGTCCACGGAGTATGTCTCTCAGTGGAGATGGTACTCCCTTGTATGATGAAAGTTGAGGCAATAATATATTCTACGCATAGCTAGGAGAATTGGTTACCTGAAACTATACTCTGCTCTGTTGACAAAAAAAAAAAAAAGAGTATAGTGGAACATCGTGTATGATCTTTATTTTAACCAATTGGCATAGATTGTTTTCTATGGTGTCAAGTATTTATTACGAGTACAAAGTATAGAACTTTTCTAGATATATTGTTACGAATTTTTCAATTGCGGCTTGAGCTAAAGATATTTAAGTTACACAAACAGACAAAGAACGAAATTGATTTAATGTACATTTTATACTTCAGTTCAGTAAGAAGGTTATTTTTTATCGTAAAAATGTTCAGTGCTTTTTTTTTTGTCACATGAACGTAATATTAGAGTATTCTACCTCAGTGAAATTACATTTTCAAATAGACGGTTATATACAGTACACCAATATATATTTGCTCAATATATCGTAATTAACATTTAGTTCTATGAATCATGACATTCAAATGCAGATACTGCCCTAATGGAAAAGTAAGCATAAGTTTTATTTCTACAAGAATTGATTTGATACGAATGTAGTGCTACTGCTTGGCTACACCTACGAATTGCATATGCAATTTTGACATATATTTTACTATGGAAGATTAGTAACATTAAACATATACTAAGTAAAATGTCTTTTTATTTTCAACCATTTATAGATGAATGATTTTACTTGCAAATATTATATGTCATTTAGTTTTCATAATTTTTAATTTTTTATTGTACGTATTTAGCTATTTACATCTTCAATTTTACTGCATTAAACAAAATTAATAACATAAAAGTAAGCAAAATGCACGTGACATACATAAACACATCTTTTGCTAAATATTTCGTATAGTAACTGGCAGATTTCAACAAGCAACTCTAATGATTTAAATTGGCGGCTAATTAGCAAAAATTAGTTCGGCAAAATTTTATGATCTAAAGCAATTAACGAAACCGCAAGTAACAGTGTAGTTAAAATCCTAACGAATATATGGCGTCTTCTTGTAAAATCATCGAAACCAGTTATAACGACTCGACCATATTTGGAACGGATTTTTACGTTCTTATGGTCGCACAACGGTCACAACTTCCCACACATTTGTACGCACGTTGCTGGAGATGCAGACATATGATTCATCCAGAATGAATCTTTTTTTTCAACGGTGTAATGTGCTCAGTCGAAAATATCGACGCATGTTACTTTTACAATGGTTTCACTACTACATAAAAACCATAGACGCGTCCATTATGAATAATTATACTTCAATTGTAGAAATTGAGCGAAATAACTCGATAATTGCAAAACATTTATAATAAATTCAATAAAATACATACGAAACACATTTTGTATTTTAACTTTGTTATTAATAAATCTGTTACTCTTTAAATACCAACGAATTACGTAATAAACGATCTTTTTTTTCATACTGTTAAGCTTAAATACCTTGACAGTGCGGCAAATATAATGTACTGGTAAACGAAACAAATATAAAAAATAACAATTATCTTGTTTCGATGCGGCTTATTTATAATAACCGTATCTTTAAACAATGAACACGGTACTGCGAATGCGTAGTAAAGGATCCGTGTGACACGTCCTGTTACGATTCAACCAACGCTTCGAATTCAAACGCACCAATCTGGATGAACCGATCGCTTTAACCGACCAATAGGAAGTCGCGAACGTTCGAACACTTCGACAAAATGTATGTACGTGTTGTATGTGTAGCCAAGCGATAGCTAGTGTGAATCTCTGGAATACACAGGGATACTTGCATGTCGCAATAAAAGCAGCCAGCAAGTCCAGCGACCGTTCAGATCTCCTTGTATTATTGTCTCGTGTGTGCGTGGTTGTTCCTGCTGCAGGATCTACATTTAGTGTTCGGTAATCGCTTCTTTGTTCTGTCGAGGTGAAAACAGGTAAGTCAAACGCATTCATTTGAAATGTGTGGACGATAAGTTTCCGTGGTGACAAAGGGACGCTACCCAGAGAACAAAGAGACGCCGGTTATTTGCGTTTATGTGTATACGATTAAAATGCTTAATCAAAGTTCAATAAGAAACAAAGAGAGTCCTGTTGTTTTTGTTCGACAACCCTAATCGTCATTTTCCGCATTCGATTTTGCAGCGTGACTGCGGTGTTTTCTTGAACACGATCATGCGTAGAAGTACTCGTAACTTCAGCTTTCCATGAGCGTGTTTAAACGAGTTTATCCGGAGTTTTTTTGCAAAGTACAAAGAAGGACATTGAAAATTACATTCGGTCGGGTCATTGACCGGCAAGCCTAGGTACATTTGACATATTTTCGTGACAGTGTGACGTTACAGTACATAGACAATCTTGTACAACTTCAAAAACCGTTTCGCCCCGTTTACATAAGAATAGCAGATGCGCAATAAAACGTGTTGTTTGTAACTTTCCCACGCATTTCTTACCTTTGTATATTACTTTTAGATAAAAAAATGAAAGTAGTAGAATGTTAAAAATGATTTTGTTTATTAATAACGGACTTAGTGACAGTTCTCGATTCTCGAAAGATTTAGCCGTTATATATAAATAGCGCAGTTGCTTCCTTCTGTACTTCCTTTGTTCGAAATGAACTTCTCCCCTAGAAATGATTACAATAGCAATTACGAAACGTCTATAAAAGATGAGTACATCAAATTAAAAGGGAGATATTTCTACGAAAACTTCAATAAACATCATCAAATTTTTTATCATTTTATGAAATCAAAGGTATTCTTTTACAGCATACTTCACAATGGCTACTGCTGCCGAATCGCCCGTTAACAACGAATGTAAGTCACCAAATATCCGTGCAACGATACTAACCATTTATTCTCCATAACAATTTCCATAATTAATCGACAATGTCTATAATATGCATAGTACACTTTATTTCGGTTTGACAAAAATTTATCTTAACACAGTTATAAAATGTTCATTATTTTCACTCACCTAAATCAATAAATGATATTAGTATTCTAAGAAAAAAAAGTGACGAATATATATTATTTTAACTACATCACCTACGTATTTATCATTTTTTAAATCTAATCTAATCTATGTGTTGCAATAACGTTTATTTGTTTTCTGTTATATTATTTGAAACATTATCGCGTGATACACTTATATGCTCGTGATGACGATGACCTTCTTCGAGCCATTGTTTGTGAAAGGCTTCCTGAATCGCCATGGGTAACCAACCGAAATCCCTGTGTCGAACAAAGAGACGCGTCGCGTATCGTGTGTAACGTAATTTTTACGCGTGTAGATGTCAAAAGTCAACGGTTGCGAAGGATCCTTAATTACGAAGGCAATGTAGACGCCAGTAGGAACATACCCTAAGGCAGCGGAAACTAGATATACAGTGAATGTAAAAAGTATTCGTACAACGAGTAATTCCAAAGGAACGCTTGTATAACTCGGTTTATTATTAAACTTAATACAAATCATTTATACATATTTCTATAAACGTCTAGTATACATTTCATAAAAGACGAATCCAGATATTTGTATATTTGAAAATATTCAAAAAAAAAACTCCATAATTGGCAGAAATAGCTGTGTAAAAAGTATTCGTACAGCCCTTGCCTAGGACTACAATATATTATACTATAAACAAAAAACAGCCACCTCGGGACAGTTTTTAACACTAACCGTACTAGCACTTCATGTATATACCTATTCTTACCGTAGTCGGTCAAATGGCCGGTTATGAAATAAAGATCATATTTTTCCGGATGGAAATATAGGTGATTGTCAATTTAATATAGGAAACAACGCCGCAGAACATAGCCTTTAGATAATAATAAAAAAAAAATTACGTACCAAATTTTAAAATCGATCATTTGACTGGGCGTGGTACGGTTAGTGTTAATAATGCAAATATACTTATTTGGAAACATTTTCACGATCAGTAGTGTTGAAAATCGATCGGTATTAATAACTGTAAGAGGATAATGGACTGAGAAAGCATAGAAACTACCGTGGAAGGGAGGAAAATAATAATAAACTTACATAATCAACGTAAAAGTCTTTCGGAAATTTTTCGAATCGTCAGTAGACCTCGATCTATAATTCAAGGCATAATTGATCAATATGGATCACGTATAACAGTGCAAAACAAAACTAGAAGCGAACGTCCGCGAAAACTTAATCAATACGCCGAACGAGTTTTTGTCCGCATAATTAAAAAGTGCCCTAAACTAAGTGCGTGCAAAATCGGGGATAAGATTAATAATTTTTTATTTTGAAATATTTCATCAATGAACAAAATAGAACGAAGCGATTAGAATTTGCAAAAACTTACAGAAACACAAGCATGGCCTACTGAAATCGTGTAATTTTTACCTATGAAAGTAAATTTAACATCTTTGTAAATTTAACAGCTTTTAAATAAAGCATGGTGGTAGCATGAAATTACATTTTACAGATGGAATAACGGACCACCACACGTATATCAATATTTTAAAAATCTACCTTCGTGCCAGTGCAGAGAAAATGGGAATCAAAAATAATTCTGCTTGTAAAATACTAGGATGTGAATTCTGTGCAATACACCATCGTATATGAAAACCTCTCCACAGTCACCGGACCTTAATCTTATGGAGCACTTATGGGATTATTAAAAAAAAAAAAACAAACATAATATTTGTTCAAAAGAAACTTTAGAAAGTGTAATAAAAGGAGAGTGGTGCAAAGGGACACCAAACGCCAGGAAGGTGTGAAGCCATTATGCAGTCAAAAGGGAATCTTACAAAATATTAATTTCTTCTTTAGGTTTGAGAAAGAACAACTGTACAAATAATTTTTATGCGGCTATTTCTGCCAATTATGGAATTTTCTTGAATATTTTCAAATATACGAATATCTGGAAATTTTTTTTTATGAAATTTATTTTAGACATCTATAGAAATATGTGTAAAATATTTGCATTAAGAAATATCATTAATAAACCGAGTTATACAAAGTTTCCATTGGAATTACTAGTACGAATACTTTTTACACTCACTGTAGTTGCTGAGAAGAGGTCAGAGCCCTCCATTGGCGTCCTCGGAGAAGTGCAGCCTGCACTTCGCCGTGGCAACTGCAGCTTGACTCAACTGCAGTACTCGAACGCCTTTCAGTGCTGCTCAACTAAACTGCGTTTACTCTAATACAATAAATTGCTTTGTTCCGATATTTTTGCATCATCAATCAGAGTATATTTATTCTACCTATGCTTGAAACTTCTTTATTCTGTAAATATAATAATTTCCAAGATCGTTCAAATACACCGAACTAGGTGTGTTTTAAAACATAATTCGAAGAATACGGATGAACGATACAGTTCATAAATTCAAATTTTATACTTCCAAGAAATTTACTTGTTACAATTTATTAATAGATACAATAGGAGTGTACATGTTCGACAATTTGAACACAGTGTTTCTTCTTGCGGCTATCGACGATTTCGCAATGCGAATAATTACGCGAGGAACAATCGTATTGATCTCCCATTAGCAGCTTGTACACGATGTAACAGGCCCCGCATAAGTGTTCGCGCGTGTATCGATAAATACTGCTGTTTCACAATGGGACTGTATAGTCGGTGAAAGAAATATAGCGAAGTTGTAAATCAAAGCGTTAAGTACCGTCGTTTATTAATGCAGCGACACACTCAGTGTAGTCAAGCGGCATTTTAATTTTTTAAAATTTTCATTAAAGCATTAAATGTTAATCGAGGTTTCCGAATTTGACCAATAATTTTTTATTTTCAATGCATCGACGATGAATCGACCGAAGCCTCGGGTCTTTATTACCTACTCAGGTTTCTATCGATTCCTTCGTCGATATGCATGTAAACTTCGACATCTTATCGATCTTACGACTTTGCTATACTTTTTCCATCGACTTTATACATTATACTACCCAAACCGACCAGACGGTCGGGTCCTTCTCGTATTTCTCTCAATTCCCTGAAGTTAGAACACTCGAAACATGTTTACTTTAACGCTTGACCGATTTTACTACCAAACTATATATTTTTTGCCACCGACTATACCATTCGAGCAGCAGCACGCGCTCAAGCCCCGGTCTCTCTCGCCACACGTTCTGCGTTACACGGCCTCTCTCGACCATACGATAGAGGCTCAAGCCTGCTGTTGCACACGTGAAAGAGACCGGCTCTCCCTCGGTTGACTCTCGACCGGCATTAAGCAGCGTACACACCGTGACATTGAAGTGTGCATAGGTTAATCCGATTGTTGAGTACAGAGTACGCAAAGATATATCGAGTGAAATATCCGCAAGCATATTTTCGCGATGGAGAAACTTGTATCCGTTGAACGTATATGATATACTGCATTAAAGGGGAAATACATACATGACGATAAAGCCACGTTTTGAAACAATGCATTTTTTCTCGACTGAACGGTTTCTTTCAACCTCTTTTTCTTCTCTTTTTTTTCCCGTTAACGCCTCTTTAGATCCAATTAAATGTAACGAGCGAGCGAAGCTCATTAAACGTCGTACGAGATCAACATTCCACGGGTTCACATTTTTTCTTTTTTTTCGTTTTTATTCGTGTGAACAGATTTTCTAATTAACCACGATCGAATGGTTACCATCCATCCGTTTAGCGTAATAAGTCTTGCGGAATGTGAAACTGATACACAGTGGGAGTATCGTTAAATTTTCGTCCTTCACAGAGAGAGAGAGAATATCGGAGGGAAAGGAAAAGAATATCGTCGCGAAATAATTACGACTAGTTTTTGAGGCGGTTCGATCAGAATACGTCACTGGGATTTCTGCGCAACTTACCATGGTTCGTGACCAGTGGAAAAAGAGACTACTGCATTATTAACATCGCCTGTTCCCTCATTCCGAGTTCTGAAAATATTCCACGATATCGATCCACGTGTGGAAGATTCATTCACTTCGCCCGGCGTGTTATCCTTCGACCGTAATGCGTCACGGTGGTTCCTATATTGCAATTGTTCGATTGTTTCCGCCAAATGGAAAAGTTTGCGGAACACACCATCGACGTTTGTCGTTTACGTCCCACATTTTCTACCATCGATTTCCCATATCCAATGTATAATGCTCCGATTGATTTTTTCTTCTTCAATTCTTGGCTTATTAATCCTCCGTAAGCAAACTGGGTAGTTTCTGTGCGCATTCCAATTTTTCTACCGTTTCAAGCTTTCGAAAGATCTGAAAAAATTCTGCAGTGCTTGACAAAGTCTTTGCTACATTATACAATTGTTCGTTAAGTCAGATGTTTAAAACTTGTTTTCAATAAAAATGAAAATTCGTTTCGAAAAAATTTCACTGGGGTTGTCGAGGACTCGGAGTGCCTGCAGAAGGTTAAAACGCTAGCAATAATCAGAAGGAATAAAGAAAAATGAACGATCGGTGTGAAGACCAAGGGGGTTTGCGTAAAACACTGTTTCTTACAGAAGTAATCTACAGACGTATAAGTCCATCTGAAGGAGGTAACAATATCGATGGATCATTCTTAGGATATCTGAGAGGTTCAACGACTCAGTAATTTCCGTCTACATTCCTCCTCTGATATCGTAATTCAATTGAGTCATCGAAAGAAAAGAACAAAAAGAAGAAAGTATAACAATGAAGTCGAAGTTAACGTTTCTCGTTAGATATCGTTAAATTAAGAGGCTTTTATATATTCCGTTGGTTCAAGTAAAATTGAAGTGGCGGTGCTTAACACAGATACCAGGAACAATCGAAACAAGATTTCTCAGCATTCTTCGGGGCCGTATACTGCAAAGTCGTCGGTTCGAAGATCGTGTTC